ACACACACACACACACACACATACACTTTATTTTTGCAAATATGATTGTTGACTACAAAAATCTTTGTTTTTACTAATTTGAATTATAATCGTATGTTAACGATATATACATACAAGTGTAAGATACATAATTTTTTCGTATTTTTAAACTTTCTACGGGTTATCACGGTCGATGCTGCTGGGTCATGTCTGCATACGATAATTTAGTGGATGTATGTTATGGATGAAAGTTATTTGATTCTTATACTTATCAAGCGTACTATTTTTGCTTTTTCAGTTTTATTGCTACAGCAAGTTGTGATCTTAATTAAAAACAGAGATCATGATTATTGAATCGCTTATGTTACGCATACGTTGATAGCGTGTAAAATAAGAAGAATAAACGATGAGAATTATGCGAATGCTGAATCATAAGAGTCTTTTGAATCATCTGAATATCTGAATCATCCGAGTGTTAAAAACTGCAACTGGAAAAATTCCATGTGAAAATTATGAAGATCTTTGAAAAAGAGAACGTTATACATGACCATGCCGATATCTCGCGATCTAGAACAATTATGGCCTCTAGAACAATTGCAGCTATCCCACGGTTCAATCAGATTTTCTCTAACTCGCATGAAATCGGTTGGTCCACTTCGGCATAACAGCATCCGTTTTTATCGAGTCTTTTACTTGTAATGGTACACTTTTTCGTATCTGTATCAAGCTCAGAATTCATCGAATCGAGATAAAAGGCGGGCGCTGATTTTAATTAATGACTTAATTATACTTAATAGGTTACGCTAGGCAAGCCGTTGCTTTGTACCAGCGATTTAGGATTAATTCGCTTTTACCTTTCGTACTTTCACGTTTAATTGTTGAACGTTTCCGTAAAACTAATGTACAAACGAATGAAGATTTTTATTTCTACCAAAAGCGGGACTTGAGATCCGAGATGAAAACAACGGATTGGAGAGACTCTCATAATGCAATAGCGTGGTCACCGGTGATGACTGTGAATCATACATATGTAAATTATCGTTGTAATCTTATAAGGTGGAGGTCAGTGCCTCTCATTGTGCCTTGCATGCGACGAGATTTTGCACCACGTACACTCATCGTTTCCTCTCAAAGTCGAGAATGCACGCCTTAGCTTCAAATAAAATGTTGGTTGGACTCGCCGAAAATAATCTCCTTCTCTCCTGTTTCAGATTTAATCCATTGCACCAATGAGCCGAACGTCTCCATACCGCAGCTCGCTAATCTCTTGATAGAGCGGTCGCAGAACACAAATTGGACAGTAGTCTTTAAGGCCCTGATCACCGTGCATCACATGATGTGCTATGGCAACGAGGTAATTACCTTTCGCTTGTCTGACCCGCGAGACGCCCGTAGTACACCCTTGTGAAATGACTTGTCTATTTACAGAGGTTCACGCAATATCTCGCATCCAGCAACAGCACGTTTCAGCTTAGTAATTTCCTTGACAAGAGCGGCGTACAAGGTGATTATTTCGTAAATGATCGTAGTGAGGCTTTGTGCTCTCCACGAGATACCACATTGTCTCAGAATTGACGGAGATCAATGGCATCAAGCGTTCCTCCTTTTGAAATTCGAAGCAGATAACGTTGCGTTGTTCACTTCGTCATTTATCGTATCAAATTTCATGAAAAGAAAGTTATCTTTTTAAAATGAGATAAATGAATTTTTTATCTTACACACAATATTTTATTACAATATTTTTTTATCTTACCCAAATATTTTTTACAATTTTTTTATAATTACTTTTTACGAAGAATAATTATCTTTTAAATTGTAGAATGAGAAGATGTCCATTTTCCATCAATTCTGAAGTATCTTACTTGAGAGAGAAATTGATATCAACAAGCCGTGCGAAATGTAAAAATACAGTTTATCTGGAGAGATTAACATTCATTTCTGTATTAACAAAACCATCGCGATATGAACTCACCGCAGCACGATGCGCACGGCTTTCCGCACTCTCGCTCACAAAAATTACACACTGATATTCCGTCATTAGAAGATTCGACTTGCTCGACAGTTGAGCGAGCTGATTTAATATGCATGCGTCGCACAGAAAATTGCAACACGCCGTAATTTGAATAACTGATCGCGGACACCTCAAAAACTTGTTTACGAAGATCTAATTTTATTCACCGATTGGAGATCGTTAAATATAATATTAATCGACTGTTACATTGATCGGCAGCAATTATTAAATCGTTTAAATAATTATTTTGAATTATTTAAGCAATGCGAAATTTTCTATTTTAACCACGATTTTTTCCAAAAAGTTTTCCATGCTACTAATTTTCTCGCATTGCGCAGCTATCATCCATATGGAAAATGCGAAATCTTTCTCTTTTTCATGTATCTGGCATCTATGTGTACGATTTACTAACCTGGACTAACTTTCTATCTCTTTGGGCATGAAGCAGGAATACGCGTGGGTGAGTTCTAATCACAAACATCCTTCTCGTTACATTAATGATACACGTTAATCATATTTCTTTCTATAGTTCTGTATATGTGTTTGATTTTAACTTTCCGAGAATAAGAGAAATTAACATACCTGTTATGAATTTGATTATGATCTATGTATGTACTAATTGATGTGCGTTGATAATTATACCCAATGCAAGTATTATAAACGTGTGATTAGGCTTACGAGATGTTGACAAAATTATAATTTCCAATCGGCGCCGACACGCAAGCTTGTGTAACTTTATGAAATTAATGCAATCGCACTGCCGACTTTCTAATTTCACTTTTACGCATTGTTGCGTGGCGATGCCTATTTAGTGCTTCTGTATTATGTCTACAATATTTATTATAAATAACGGTGAATAATTGTTGTTTCTGTTTTGTCAGGATATGACATGTCACCCTTCATCAGACGTTATGCCAAGTATCTCAACGAGAAAGCTCTTTCCTATAGAACGGTAGCGTTCGATTTCTGCAAAGTAAAAAGAGGGTACGTGTTCAAAGTATTTTATTTTTCGAAATCTTACCTTGTATTTAATGAGGAAATTAATTTTCATTGCATAATCAACATTGCAGGAAGGAAGACGGCACTCTACGCACAATGAACGCCGAGAAACTCCTGAAAACTTTGCCGGTACTGCAGTCGCAACTCGACGCACTGTTGGAATTCGATTGCACGGCTAACGACCTCACGAATGGCGTCATAAACATGGCCTTCATGCTCCTCTTTCGAGATCTTATCAGATTATTTGCTTGTTATAATGACGGCATCATTAATTTGTTAGGTAACATTATTCAATATTTTCTTTTCCTATCGCATATTCAAATTCAACGAATGCATATTAAAAAATTTATAAATATGAATTAATTAAACGTTCGTAATTGTAATTTCAGAAAAATATTTCGACATGAACAAGAAGCAGTGTCGAGACGCTTTAGACCTTTACAAGAAATTCCTAATACGCATGGACAGGGTCGGAGAATTTCTCAAAGTCGCGGAAGTAAGTTATATGATTCGTGCGTGAAAATAACAGTTATAATCATGTTAGAATTATCTGTATCTTTATTTTCTTTATAGAATGTTGGCATTGATAAAGGGGACATACCAGATCTGACGAAGGTATGTGCGCAAAAATATTATTTATTATCTCGCTACCTCGCTAATAATATCTATATAATATATATATAATATAATATCTATCTAATATTATATAATATAATATCTATATAATATTATATAATCTATATAATAAGGATTTAATTGTTTATATATAATTATCGGTTACCAATTTGATAAATTAAATATTAACAACTTAACGATGAGCGAAAAAAAAACGATATAACCGATAAAGTAATATTTTCATTTGTTTCTTCCTCTTACATTATTAACAGGTAATAACATCTCTGATTATCTTAACGAGATAGAGTTAGTGTGGCCTAGTATAGCAAGCAACATAGATAATTGGCGATATTTATTCTGGGAGATTTTGTGAACCGACATATACATGTCAATCTTTTTATATCTTTTTAGCGTAATACTTTTTCAAGAGTATCCATGATGAGTTCACAGATTCTCTTAAATAAATGCATGCATTTTAGTGGAGAGAAATCTCTTCTAGACCAAATGCACAGCTAAATTTTATCTTGCACTTTATCGAAAAATTCTAACAGTGCTCTATGAATAACGAATAAATTGTTTTTAGGCACCTAGTAGTTTGTTGGATGCTTTAGAGCAACATCTCGCTTCCTTGGAAGGAAAAAAGGGTTCCGCTGCGAATACGCCAACGCAGTCGGCAAGGTATGTCAATTTTTTTCATTTATTCGATTCATTAAGTCTCACAACGATCGATGTAGGGATAATTTTAAACGTCCTATGCTGAATGCTATTGAAATCGATATACTTCTCCCTCTCTATACTTTCCCAGAATCCATCAGTTTTCGTCTCATTGTTCTTTCATATCCGATGATCAGAAACATATTTTTCTACACATCTTTACAAGCTTCTTAAGCTATGAGTATTTACATATTACGTTTATCGCACATGCATATATGAGAATTATGACACAGAATTCAAATATCATATGTTAATCATTGATCATTTTATATACATAAAAAATATTAAACGTCATTCTTTTTTCTTTATTTGTGCAAATGTCGCAAAAAATTTTGGAAGATAGTAATCTTAAGCACTATCTTTGAAAAATTATATTGTCTTTTTGAATAGTTATTCAACTTGTAAAATTTCTCGGGATGATATCCCCTAAATACGAGGTTAATTTTCTCTGATATTTAATATTTAGTATTTATTTTTAGAATATTTGGTTTACATTTATACCCTGACCTATTTTAGATATCCATTCTATGCTCCTAAATTTGGTATTGAATTTTTACGTATATGTGTGCGTATTTCTCATCAAAAATCGTAACTATAATTATTACTCATCTTAACTATAATTATTAGTGATCCAATTACCGCTCACGTATACTGCATGAATTTACAATAATGTATTTAGATAATTGATCTATTTCCCCCTATGATCTGTTGATTATCGTAGATATTAAGCACGCTATAATAAATCGTCAATTGCAATTAACAATATTGACGATTTAATTGTATTGCCTAAAAGTTAAATGGAATAATATTGATTGATGTGGCTACAATCACGGAATTTAGAGACAAAATATTTATTATTCTCGTAATCCTTAATTTATTGAGACGCAACCATTGATTAAAGTATCTTGAAATAGTAAGAATCTTATGTGTGGAAAAACTGTATAACGTTTTAATGCACATATATTTATCTGTATAATGGCTTATTATAGCAAACTCAACACTTATAGTACGCTATTGAAATATAAAAATTTACATCAATGTGTACTATATAATTTGATTGAGTGTGCAAGCTTGATGTTATGTTTCGCTATAAAATGTAGAACACGAGTATAAATGCATATGTGTATTAGGAAATTTAGTAAACAGGTGAAAAAGAAGAGTGAAAAGATGTGAAAATAAGAGAGAAAATGTGAGTGCGTGTGTATGAAAGAAAAGATGCATGCGAGCGTGCGTGTGGTAATGCACACTATGCATTTCTACGCATTGTTACATCTATACGTACTACACCGTTTGTTTTTTGTTTTTTTGTTTGTCTCTTCTCCTTTATTTTCAATTATCAATTTTCCTTTACGCTCCTTTCTCTCTTTCTCTCTCTTTCGCCACATTTTATGAATTCGCTGAAACGGACCTTCCGTATTCTTCTTGTCCGTCCTCTTTCCATCCATCGACACCACAACATCCGACATCCTATCATCGCCCAAAAGCAGCAATAGAACCAATGTAAAGTCGGGAGTGTCCGCCCTGTCTTCCACCAGTACCGCGTTCGGAACAGCAGCCAGCAATGCGCGACTCGAGCAAACCGGGAATGGCCACATCGACGAGGCGTTGCGACAGCAAGCTCTCGCGGAAGAGGAAGCTGCCATGAATCAATACAAGGTACTGCTAATTATCAAAGTTGAAACAAACCAACTGAGATGAGTTGAAAGAGTTTGGAAATTGTCTCAATATATATTCTATCTTATTATCTTATTTTTCCATTTGAATTTTTACAACATTTCAAGTTGGTTTTTTTTTTTTTTTTTTTTTTATTCGCGATTCCTGGCACATGAATGTGATATTAATCCCCGAGTATACATTGCAGGACAAAAGTACAATCGCCGTCAAGTACTAGTACGAATCCGTTCCTCAGTTCACCGACTAATAACGCTAATCAGCCGATCGTGGACCTATTTGCAACGTCAGCATCCGAAAGTCAACAGGTACGTTTATATCTTTTATTTGATAAGAAATTCAATAAGATTTTATTGAAGCTGATGATCGATTGTTGTCACCGATTGCAGCCACAATCTCAGAAGGCATCGGATGATCTATTGCAATTGGCGGGCAATCCGTTCGCAAACATGTTCGGGACGCCGCAACCGGCCGCAGCAGCCACGCAACCCGCTGCTCAGATGCAGAATAATATGTGGATGACCAACGGTACTGGTGAGCACAAGCATTTAAAGTCGATATAGTCTCAGTGATCATCGCTTCTTTCGTCACCGCGCTTGATTATATTTTTTTCTCCCTTTTTGATTTTCGTTTTCTTTTATTTTCCATTTCCTTTTTTCTTTTAGGTTTCGCGTCAACTGCGCCACCAGCAAATAATAACTTTGTTACAGATAATAGTTTTTCCTCCGTATTCGGAAATCAAGATCAGCAATCTAGTAAGTGACTCATTAGCGAAATAAACATAAACGGAGGTTACATTATACAAGCGCATTCACGATTGAAAAGCTCCGTGCACTTTTATTTTCTTATTCTACCGTCTTTACTTGTACATCATTCCTTCTATTTCTATTGTAGAATTTTTATAGTCATTTTTATGATACTTTTGCATTTCATACATCTTATATTTTTCGATACTTAGTACGCCTGAACGATCACACATACCATTTACCTATGGATAAAGATGTACCGAATGAAACAGCGTTTATAGCTATATTAATATTGTGGAATATATTGCTACTATCTAATAATATAAATAATTTACGATTCTTACATTCTTTTTTTCTTTTCATGTCACAATATTTGAACGTAAGCGCTGGTTATTCGATATATTCTCAATGCTGACGCGCGATATTGTAAAGGAATGCAACCGAGCGACTGTATTGCGTTAACATTGTATTTGTTCTTTTTTTTCTCTTTACCTTAACATATTAATTTACGGGTTACGGTATGACAATTGCGAGATATTTTGCATTGTTACTTATCCGGACGCAAAACAGAAGGAAGCTAACTTATGCACCTTGATCACTTTCTGCGCAAGCTGGCGCCCCAGGAACGGCGTCCGTACCTAATCCCTTCATGTCCGATTTCCCAACCCTCGGTACTGCTGGCGGCCAACAAGCGACAAACGCGGCCGCCTTCGGGCTCTTTGATCAGAACGCCGGCAGTGAGTCGGGACAGACGGTACAAACGGGAACGGCGCCAGCCGGAGACTTCTTCAGTGCCGGTCAGGCGGATCTCTTCGGGGGTGACGGGCCTGCCGCTGCCGCCGCGATGCTGAGGAACCCCGCGAACGGCGGCGACGGGGATGCTGCGGCGGCCGAGGTGGTGGCGTCGGCGGCGTCTCCCGCCGCCGGCAAGACATCGTCTACGGCTACGCCGCCACCTAGACCACCGCCACCCGCGACCGCCGTTGCTGCCGCGAACGGTGCCGCACCGCGTGCATTGTCTCCGACCGTCGGTATCGGCGGAGGAGCATCACATGGTAGGCCAGCGGTGGCGACGGCGCCAACGGCGACAGCGGCCCCGGCACCCTCCGCTAGCAAGAGCGCTTTCGACGATCTCAACGATAGTATCCGCATGGCACTGGGTGGGTCTCCATCACGGCCGGCACCAATGGTCCAGCAGCAACAACAAGCTGCGATGATCGCTCAGCAACAGCCGCTGCAGCAACAAATGCCGCCGGCAGCAGTGGCGGCGGCCGCTGGTATGTTTGGCATGAACGACCCTGTGACCGGGCAACCAATGATGACCGGTGTGCCGATCGTCGGCTACGGTATTCCTACCCAAGCCCAAGTTCCCGTGGGGTACGGTTCGCCGGCAAAGCAGCCGATGTCAGGTGACGGGAATGCCTAAA